GAGAATCCAGTTGACAAAGTCAGGCAAACATACTTAAACAAAAGAAAACAAAACGCAGACCCAACACATGCAGCCATTTGACGTTTTGGTTCATGTGTTGTTCTGTCCAATATTTAATCCTCCCTTCCATGAAGGTGCATTGGTACTATGCACCCAGCTAGCCCTGTCAACATGGAGCTCTCAAGCCTCTTGGCTCCAGCCTGCGTGCCATCCTCTCCAAGGCAATACTGGTCTGGTTGCAAGTTGCAATGAAGCAGGCAGTTATGACTCAGGGTTATGGTTAAGAAACATTACCCCCAGGGCACTGGGCCATTAGCAGAATATGCCCTAGTTTTAATAATTAATCCTTCTTGACCTAAGCTCATTTTACTCCATATTGGTTTTCAATACACTATTTCATAGTTCAGAAAAAGAACATGGTTTTCTTCAAAAGGGTCAAATCCATTAAGGAAAAACATTTGCACAAGGATGACACCTTGAGACGACATGAGAGGTCCAAAGGAGGAATCTCTGCAGGACGTGCTGCAGATGCATTCACTGCCCACCAGTGCCATCACTTGTTGTCTGCAATAGGCCCAAAGGAGACCTCTCCCTGTTTCTTCCCAAGCCCTTCAACATCCATCCCATTTCAGCCAAGACAGACTGTGTAGCAAAGGGCAACATACACAAATTGTGGCCACATAGGACATGTGGAAAGCTTTCCTATGAGCAAAGCGGTGCAGTGTTGAAAAGGGTCACCTCAAGAGGTGGGCACATCTCCACCTCTGGAAGTGCTGGCTGTCCTCCTCCAGTAAGCACTGGAGACCTCCTGCAGTCCCACCCCATCAGCATTTTGGGGCCTCTCCCTTGAGTCCTGCTGTGTTGTAGGAGACACCAATGGCCCAGATTCTCCCTCAGGTTCTCTGCCTCCCCCACAGCTTAGTTTCCCGCAGGTCCCCACCACGGCCCATGTCTGGATGATGTCCTTCAACTCCTCTTGTTAAGCTTCCCAGGAAGCACATCCTGGGGAGACACCAAGGTCAGGGCAGCTCTGTGCAGAGGAAGGTGAAGGCATGGAGGCACTGAAAACACAATCAAGAAAATAATACAGGTGACACAAACCACCTCTGAGAGCAGCTTTTTAGATGTGTGTGATTTAACCATCCATAGACACCGTTAACTTTCATAGGAACCAGCAGAACTGAACGACTCATTGATGCAAAACCTGAACAAACAGACCAGAAAACACCTGGTTCAACTAAATGTATGCAGTCTGCTACTGGATCCCCTCATGAACACACAAGAGCCATACACCCCATGCAATTTGGAAAGAGACTGTATGAATCTACGCGATGCTGTGCGCTTTCTAGGCATGGACACGTGGAACACCAAACGTGGCAAGCCGTTATCTGGGCCAGATGATGCGGAGAGCCCCTGATGAGGCCCAGATGAAGAGGAAAATGCAAGGAGCAAGAGAAGAGCAGACTGAAAATGTCACTATTTATTTCTTCCAGATTTATAGCAACAGCTCTGAGAGGATGTAACACCTTGAAACCTTTGATCAGATGCCTGGGTGTTCATGCAGGCAAGGATGAAGCCTGCAAAGAGTGTCCCTATCCAGGCATCCACGCACACACTCATCATTCGAAGAAGACGCTTTAAAGAAATCTGAATGCCTGAAATAAGAGACAGCTCAAACGGATTTTTACCATCACATCCTGCACATATCAAATGAAATCAGAAAGGGGGAGGAGCAGCCCGCTAAATAAATACGCATTTAACCCTCGCGGTGAAAGAGTCAGTGTCTCAGCTTTGGGGGGGACAATGAGGAAGTGATCATTAACACTGGGCAAATTAGTGAGGCTCAATGAAATTAAGCGTGTCATTCATGCCACAAGAGAGCACAGGTGAGACGTGAGGGAGACCAACCATCTGCAGCCATGGCTGAGCTGACGGTGCCTGACAGGACACGTGTGCAGGGCCAAATCACAGCAAAAAAGAAAAGAGAACAACTGTAGCAAAAGCCCTGTTTGTGTGTAAAAATCATCAGAATTGGGGCAGAACAGAAGAACAACGGCTCAGCACTGCTCCCCACTGCACTCAGCATCACCACTCTGCCCAAGAGTGGGCCCAAACCCACATTGGTTTTGAGCCAGGGGATTGCCACCACTTAGCCTGTTAGCCCTGTAGCTGCAGCAGCTGACTGGATTCTGCATTAAACATGAGGCAAAGCACAGCCTAAAATCCCTTCCAGGTAGGTTTAAACTTCCAGGGACTTACCTTGGAAGTGAATTAGCCAACTAGCCACTGTTAGCAATTCACTGCTGATGAAATTCTGCCCATACCTGAGCACCCCACTAGCCCAGGGACCCAGCTCCCCACCAGGAAAGCATCTCCACAGCTATGCATCATCTCCTGGCCTGGTATTTGGGTTTTGCCCCATTTTTTGCCTTTTTGCAAGATCCTTAGGCTTGACAGAGTTATCTTGTCACCTTGGACTGAACTGCCTTTTCTCAGGGCTGATCAAGTTGCACCATGCAAATTACACAGGGTGGAGGTAAACTTCCTTAGGGGCAGAAAAGGGCATTCAGACAGTTCCTTTTATGTTTCACAAGTCATTTGCATCCTTATTCTGCCTTTAGGGCAACTCCCCATTGACTGAACACCTGCTTTTAGCTGCCGGGAAGCAGATAACAAACCTCCTTCTCCACCCACCCCCAATTCACACCCCTTCAGAATAGTCAACCAGTGTCACTTGAGACTTGCAAAACCCTTCTCACTTTGTCTTGGTCAAGGTGGAGATGAGCACATTCTCCCACTTACCATATTCCAGAATCACAAAGCCTCCCAGCACACCAAACCCAAGGAAAGTGAAGAACCACACTAGGTCATGGGACTGGTGGTTCCACATCTCTGAGCCCTGAATGCTCTCACTGATGTCCAATGTGTCAATCCAGCACAAAGATGCTTCCAAAAAAGGGGAATGGAGAAGGGAAGCCAGCTGGAGTGAACTTTATCATGGCCAGCAGCCAAGTGAAAATTAGGCTCTTTGCTGGGAACCAGTGATACTGCAGAAAGCATCACCCATGCTTAGGCACAGCACTGAGATCTCCTCTTACATCACTCACTCTTAATGTACTTTTCACACAACTTCAAAGTCTGTTTTCCTGTTCTCTGGATGGAGGATCAATGCACAACCTGACAGCATAGAGACCAGTGGCAAAAGCAAGCATTGAACCCAAGGCCATCATCAGACCTCTAAGATCCTCTGGTCCCCAAGGTAGACAGATGGAATGTAGAAGATGTATATATTCCCCACCTGGACATGGCCAAGGTTCAGGCAAAGGGCTGTAACCACACAACTTCACCTTGACAGTGTTTCCCTCCCTATAAAACAGAGCATTTCCTCTCTCTGGGGCTGCAGTGAAAACACATCAATGACTCGTAACACAGAAACACAGTAAGTTGCAGGAGAAACTCTGTATAAGAAAAACACAAACATTCTCTTTGCCCACTTAAAACTAAACAAGAGTGATATATGACAGGAAATTATATTTGTTCCTTGATTTAAGGCGACAATCTTGATGATGGACCATCAATATCAATCTCTCTTTCTCAACAGCTGCACCTCTGAGAACATACTGAGAGCATCAGCAGAAGCAAAAGCATACCAGAAATCTTAAAGTTGCATTTGCTTAGGTACAACAGCTTGTACATCTAAATTTTAACCTTTTCTACTCTATTTATTCACACTGCAGCAGTTTGGCCAGCATAGGCTGAGCACTCTGCAAACACAAGCAGAAAACAATGTTCTTGTCCTTCAACAGAAACAGAGGTGAAGCAGAGGAGGTGGCTCAGTAAAAGCAGATGGGTATCTGAAGGGTGAAATTTCCCCTGTGCAGGAGATGCAGCGAACTGCATAAAAGCTCTCAAGGGTGAGCTAACCAACAGATATTTGACATGCAGGTCTCAGCTCTTCACATTATCAGACCCATGGGCTGCTGCACCATAGCCAAGTTATTGGGATGTGGATGCTCCCGCTACAGGTGTCGGGCTTCCACAGGGACAGAGTGAGCGTTGCTCCAGACCTTCTCTATGTGGCTGAAAAGCCACAAGCCTTATTACTTGAAAAGCCAGAGGCCAGAGTGGCTCCGGGGCTGGTTCCCAGGAGATCTGTGGGCAGCCCTAGCAGCCTCACTGAGGCTCAGTGCAGCACCTCCTGGTGCTGGAGTTGTCCTGCTGGTCCCCACTGGGACTGCAACATCCAGGATGAGATGACCCAGCTGGACTGAATTCTGATGAGTGATCATACCTTATCGTTCAGGAACATACATACACTGCCAGTCAGGGTGTATGAATGCTGAGAGCAGGCTCAGACAAGTGGCTTATAGATGTAAACTGTGCCCAAACCTTGAACAAAATTTAAGGGAAGCTTAGGAGAGGGCCAAGCTTTCATGCAATTGGTTCATATACCCCAAGCCAACATCAAGCACCATGAACTCCAAGTCTTCCTATACAGGGAGCAGACATTAGACATGCCTTGCAGACCCCACATCCAAACAAGCCATCCCTGATGTGCGGACAGCTTGGAGAACAACTATTATAGGGATTGATTCACCCCATGCAGATACCTACAGCAGGTCAGGGGCAGGTGTTTCCTAAACATATCCATTTCCCTCCAGGGACTGTAAAAGGAGGCTGGGAGAGACTGGTTCAGTAACAGGAAATTGCAGAAGAGGGCTCCAAATCTGCTGTGAAGCCCAACTACAACCAGAAACAAGCTCTCTGCGATGCATAGTCCTCCAACATGTTCAAGGTTGCCTCCAACCCTTTTGAGACCCCCAAGTACACCATCAGTCTAAAATTCTTCCCATCAGCCTTGAAGAGGCAAAATACACAGAAACCCATAATAAAAATTACATCTGGAGGTTCAATAGAAGAGGTCTCGCCCAAAGGCTGCAGGGAAGCTCAGGAAGGCTGTATCTCCAGGCTTACAAGTGCTGAAAGCCATCACCACTCACCTCACTTTCCAGGAAACCCTGGCAGGATTTGACCTCCCTTCCACATGCTCCTCCTCTCTCCTTTTCACAGTCAAAAGGGACCTATATGACATTACAACAAAAGAAATGTCAGCAAGCCAAACCTTGTCCCATCCCTCCAGCTGAAAAGCTTCATTTCCTCAGTTCTTCAAAATCAGGCTGCACTGGAAAGCAAGTGTATAGAAATCACAGCTTACATATCTATTTAAATATTTATGTATGTATTTATTTTGTACCTATATTACCTATCTAAATAGACATATAAACTGGGGAGGGGACAGGAGCCCCTTGTGAGCAGCTGAGGCAGCAGCAAATGGACTAGCATGAGTGATGGAGCACTACAGCCTGTCGCATGATGAACACTCAGGATGACCCAGCAACAGGGCACCATGTCCTCCTGTGATGTTCACTGTCAGCTCTAAAGCAATCCCTCCAATGTTCCTAAATGGTAATGGGAGGAAACACAGCCAGGAGTGTCAGAGAGCCTGGGATGATGAAGAAATGTCCTGAAAGTGCCCACCTAGGGCTGGCCAAAAACCGTGAGGAGAAAGGGGAGGCAGAGGAGCAGTGCTGCATGACCCAGAGCATCCCAGCATCATCATGGACAGGATGTGGGGTTTTCCTCATGGTGTTCTCCACATGTTGCTGACACCCCATGTTACAGCCCACGGGTTGCAATGGACAGCCAGACGACAGCAGGCTGCTGCTCAGGCACACAGCACTGTGCAGGGTGATGGTCCCAGTGGCCTTTTTCTCCCACCATCTAGGTCCCCATCCTCTCTTCTCAGGCCACTGGACACCTTCTCAGGGCAACTGCATATCACACAGCCATATATCAGACACAGAGATGTATATCACACATGGGCTGGAGGCAGAGCAGGGACCTCTATTACCATCAGAATAGCCTCATCACTCAGCCTACTTAACCCAGCCACATTTGCACTGCTAAATTTGGGAGAGTATGAGAAGCATTCCCTCAGAATGGTGGGGGAGGGACAGACAGGCTTTTGGCCTCCTTTAACTCCCTGCCAAGTGCTCTGTAATTCAAAGTCCACTTCAGAGATGCTACCCCAAGCTGTGCAGCAATGGCCCAGACCCAGCAAACCTGGAGATCCAGTGCCTTAACCCCTTGGAGTCAGCATCTGAGCCTGGCTATTTAAAGATGATTGAGTCAGCCTTTCTGAAACAGATCCCACTGACATAACAGGCTTCCAGGAGGTATGTGGAGGGGAATGTGGGACATCTCCATGCAGAAAGGGAAGCACTTAACTTCAGATAGACTAGTTTGAAGACCCTGCCCCGAAGGGATGCAGTGCTCAGCTTGGTAACAGGCTAGCAGCAATCACTATATTCAAACTGATCTAAGAAGCTGTGAATGACTATTTGAGTGCAAAATAGATGAAGTACTCAAGAAGGATGGCAACAATACCTGCAAGTAAAAAGGGGCCACCACCCCTGGTAGCACCTACAAACATTGCCTTGCCCTGACCTGCAGCATCAGCACCTGAAAACATCTGATCACCAGGTTTTGCTTTTGAGATGGTAGAAGCAAATGAAAGCTCTTTCTCATTCTTGTTGCTGGAGGGCACAGGAAGGAAACGCACATTACAGTAACTTTTCTGGGCCCGTTTTCCATAAACACCATCAGCACCTGCACCCTCCTGCAGATGCCCAGAGAAATGTGCCCCTGGAAACACAACCCACGAAACGTCTTACAGGGGTGCTGCTGCCTACACCCAACAAATAAACACGGTATTAACCCCACAGGGTGCCAACTCCACTGGTGTATGAGGTGAGCCAGAAATCTCCCCCAGCACCTACATCAAGACATTCGAAGGAGCTTTTGAGAGACCCAGGCATGAGCATGAGCAATTGGCCGCCGAGCTTGGGCTGCTCTCCTGGGACCTTTCCCAAGCGATTCACACGCACCCCAGAATAAAAACCTAGGCTTGTTTTCCCTAAAAGTGGGCATCAAACACTCTGACATCAAGAAAGATGATTAAAGACAGTTGAGTTACGAGGAAAGATTAAAAGAACTAAAATATGCCCAACTTGGCTAAGCAATGAGTAAGAGGAGACGTGATAAAAGACTCCAGGCATCTGAATGAAGGGAGTGGCATAGCATTAAAGGACTGAATAAAATATCTCTCTGAGAAATGGATCCATCAATGATCTCCCAAGAGATAAGGTACAAGCCTCATTTTTTTAGCATTTAAAAACCTCAGTCGCTAGAACTGAGGTTTTTGAGCAGAAACCCATTTTGCCCTGAAGGGAGCACGCACCAAAGCTTTTCATCTCCGGCACCGGGTGCTGCGAACAAAGCGTGTGATGCCACAGGGGAGCACAGGAAGCTTGGGAAGTGGCAAGTATTTCATTCTGTCTCGCCCAAGAAACAGAGATAGGCTTTTTCACTGAAATTAAGAAAATAAATCCTTTTCACTGCTTGTTTTTCATTCAGCAGCCCTAATCCATAATGTTTCGGGTTAAGAAAACCCTAAATAAATAAAAAGGAAAATAATCACCAGCCCATTCAAAATGAAAAGCTCTGGGGGGTTTACAAGTAGTTGCATTTCCTCCAATAATTAAAGACACATGGGGTCCCACAGTTGCAAGAGAATGGCTTGAGCTGGGCAGTGCACTCCCAGGGACTGTGAGCCCAGAAGCTCTCCAGACCCAGCCAGACCCAGCACACACGTGGGCACAATGACACAGAAAATGTCATGGAAAACAAAAAGCATTTATTTACCTGCCTTTTCTGAGACCCTTCAGGAAGAGGCCCTCTGAAACCTAAGGACCTGATACACTTTATAGAGATCAGAACTAAACCTTAAGCCCTGAGAAAACCGCTCAGGAAGAGAGCTACACCTGTTACACTGGCTTTGCCTCAGAAAGCTCTGTATAATGCATGTAACATACATACCTACCTAAATACCAGCTCTGTGAAACCAAAGCAGTGCATTTTGTGTAACTGCACATGATGTCCAGCCATAGGAGGGTCTCCTGAACATCCTCCCCAGCACACAAGTGTACCCAAGAGAAGGAGCTTGACCTGGCCAACAGTATTTACTGCTATACACAGTGAGGTTTCCACCAACACCAGCTTGTCAGCTCATCTGAGGTGCCTGGGGGTTGCAATTAACCCCCAGATGTTCTTTCAGGTGCTTCTGCCCTAAAAGGCTTGGCACTACCAGGCCACTGGGTATTATGCACAAAGCTCAGCAGCATCCCAGATTTGGGTACCTGAGAGACTGCTTCATCCTCAGCAGGGAAAAGCCAGAAGACATTTCTCAACGGTACAATATTAAATCACAGTTAAATTCACTCAATGGCCAGATACCATCAAGGAGGTGGTACTGCCCCAGCTCCCCCTGGCTCCCCTGACCTGGTGAGTCCATGCAATTGGATCTAAGAGAAAACTAGCTGGGGAAAATAAAGAAAAAAAGAAAGTAAATCATCTTCTTGCAATGAATTCCCTAAACCAGTTCAGTGGGGTTCAGGCAAGTACTAGAAATCTTTCCTCTTTTGGCATGAGCGAGATCAGCTGAACTACAACATGTGACTGCAATCCAAGGCAACCTTTGTGTGCAAGGCCAAGAGTGGATCTTTCTGATCCCCTCCCCTTTCCCACAGCAACCTCTTAAGTCTGTCTACAACTGCCTTTCTCCATGGGAACAGGAGATCCCCCATTTACTGACTCGTGAGTTTTACTGCAGAGCTGAAACAGGATGTTCACAGAGAATTTTATTATCTACTTTTTTAATAAGTGGAGCACTGTAGTACACTGTGAATCTTCTTGCTTTATGCTTGCTTGCCTCTTTGGGAGGTTGAAGCACAAAACCAGGCTGCCAGATTCATTTTATATACTGAAGAAACATGACTCTCCCCAATCTGAAAGGCAGCCAAACATAAAAAGACCTGTTCAAAGTGGAGGAAACTGCACTTACAGTTTGGAATGAAAAGGGAAAAAAATCAAAACATCTAAGAGAGATTATTATACCTTCTATTAAACCTTCCTCTCCCCATACAGAATCAGCTGCAAGAACAGTGATGCTCAAGATAACCAGGCTCGGGGTATCACTGTCACAAAGAATTAAAGGCTTGCAGGTTGTATTCAGACAGCTCCTTCCTTTTCTTTTGATGTTAATTTTAGGTATTCCTGCCCAGGCCACGACTGCAGTTTTACTCTGCTCTCATCACGCATTCAGACAGTCAGACAGACAACCCTGGCAGCCCTCATATCTAGCATGGAAGGAGGACAAAGCCCCTCTGACTCACAGCTCATCCTTACATGAACAGCTTTGGGTATATGAAGATCAGCTAGTTAATAAGAAACAACTGTCTCCCGAAACACAAAGTTTCTGCTATTCAGAACAATGAACTGGGATAATGCATGTGTTTAAAAAAGAGGGAGAGGAGCAGGTCCCAGTGTAAGGGTGCATCTACTGCATCACTCACCCAAACGGACGGTGCTGCAGCGAGGGGTGATGGAGAAAGGTGAGCCCGGTGTGGTCCACGCACCCTGCCATGGATGAGGGAGGGATGGGGGGGAAGATCTAACCCAGAAGAAAACAAAAAGCTGGATCCCCGTGGCTCTGCACAGAACTGTACCCTGTGGGGCCACAGCTTGTTGCTTCACTACAGAGCCCTGCCACCTCCACAGAGCTGGCACAGAAACCACCCCTCCTCAGGAATAGTCCCTCTGAAAGCCTGGGAGAGCTGACTACAGCTACTGACCTGTAAAGAAACCCACTTGCTGCCACTCTTTCTTGACTTGCATGGACCAGCAGAAGAGCCTGACCCTGGGTGCAGGCTCTGCAGGGGGCAGATGCTTTGCGGCTTTCACCCCTGCCCACCACTGACATCAATGACCCAGCAGCTGCCCCAGCCACCGCAGCGATTTCTGTATCCCTCCCTTGCTAAAATAAACTAGCAGGGCACCTTTTGCTGCTTAAGAGAGGTGACTGCCAGCACAATCACGGAGAACATCTTGCTTTCCAATGGAAAGAGCCTCAGGATACCTTTGGAACTGCCTGGGAAAGACACACTAATGTATTCTGCATGTG